GCCCTTCAGGCCCCTTTTTCACAAACCCAACAACCCCCCGACAAAGTGTAGGGTTTCATCACAAGCTCTGTGAGCAAAAGGGCGCCGTGGGCGCATTCGGGGCCCGTCCACAGCTGCAGCAAGCGCCCGAGGCAGCTTGTGCAAGTTTTGCGGTTCGGGGAACCCCTATGAACTACTGTCAATATTGACCGTATTATGGGACCAATATCGGTGGACATAGGGTTCTTCCCGCTTGTAGTTTAGGATAGTCTCAAATATGGCGCCTTGTAAGGAACTTGTGTCGTTCAACCGAAACAGGAAACGTTGACTCTAGCTCGCATGACCCTGTTTCTAAATTGGCAGTAGCCTCCGGCGCCCCCAAGGTTCCCTTTTGATTTAGCTTATTTGGGGCTAATAGAGGCCAATTAAGCGGGAACCGGGGAGCGGGGTTTAGTATAGGGGGGTTAGTAGGAAATCTGCGAATGTAGGCCCGCTCCTAGGCTTCCATGATTGTGTAGGGGAGCGTAAGGTGCAAGGCGGTTTCAGGTAAGATGTGCAGTTTCTGGCTGAGGGCGTAGAAGCAGAGATGGTCGAAAATGGTAGTCTTGGGAAAAACACAAACATCTAAACAATCCTAAGCACCTGGTCCCCATAATATGGACTAAAGTATTTGGGGGTTTATATGGGGTTTTCTACTCAGGGAAACTCCCTATTCGGTGTTTTTCAAAGTATCACAGGTTTTAACCCTCAACATGCACCTTCAACAATCCGCCTATAATCCCCATGTATCCCCAGAGTCTCTAAAGGTACCCTGCTAGCCATATAGAACCTTATGAGGCCCTATAAGCCCCCAAATATTTGCTTCACCACTTCTGGATACTAAATCCTGCATTCCTGTAGCAGTAGATGACCCTACATATGCAATGTCACCCTTGCAAGAGCCAGATACAACCTTCTATATAAGTATATACCCCTACATATTCCCATACACCAGCAGGAGCACCATATAACACCAAAACACCCGACACCTGGCTTGCTGTTAAGGAGCTGCGGCTGGGTTTAGGGTTTAGGGCTTAGGGGACAACCTTTTTGTCCACTTGCTCTTCGTGGTATGTGCCTACACCCTAAACCCTAGACCCTCAGCCCAAAGTTCATGCCCCTATGTAACCCTGTATGTGAGCTTCTGACAATGACAGGCTTCTTTGAGGAAGCTGTACTCGTGGACATACGAGTTTCTCTTGTATTTCAGTGTAGTCCTACGAATGGTCCCTAAACGGAACCAATGTCCATTAAACTATGTTGGTAACATTGACTGTTGCTCATATAAACCCTAAACCCTAGATAATCTTTATAATCCCTGTATAATGATATATAAGTCCCTATACACTGTTGCTCATATATCCTTACTTGACCCTATAACCCTATATAATCCCTATATAATCCCTATATTAATATAACGATATAAGTCCCTATACCAGCACCCTAAACCCTAAACCCTAAGCCCTAAACTCTAACCCCAGCCCCAAAGCACCCCATAAAGCCAGGTCCGCCCAAGCCGTGGCTGCACTGCAGCTGGCGCCTCGGCGGCGGCGATCGTGGCCTTGGCGGCTGGGCAGAGGCCAATGGGTTAGGGGTTGTTTAGGGTTTTAGGGTTTAGGGTTTAGGGTTCTAGGGTTTAGGGTTTTAAGGTTTAGGGTTTAGGGCGTCTACCTGCGCAGGGCTGAGTATCCATGCGCCAATGGCGCCACCCCACTTGCAGGGATCTGTGGGTGGCGGCACATCCTGCGCCCAGCGAACTTCGTGGATGTTGC